CAACTCAATGTGAAATTTAGTGTAAAAAGCCAGATTTGTCATTTGTAACTACAAAATTAGTGATTTTGATTTTGAAACCCACCTCTACAAATCTTTCCACTAAAGTACAAAAACCCACCCGAAAATCTGATTCTCCTACCGATCTTCTATCCATGAAAGCTCACAAAAATCAGATCTTTTTCTTCCTTAGTTCTTATTTATATGAAAACCCACAAAAATCAACTTAAGATCTCCATCTTCTTCGGATCTTCCAAAAACCCATTTCAAATCTTCTTTTCAAAATCGACTTCCACCAAAATCCAAGAAAACCCATCTCGAATCTTCTACTTCAGATCTTCTTCTTCGCCAAAAACGATCTTCATTAAAACGTCACCGCCGCGGATATCCTTTTTGTTGCCGACGCATTTGGGAGGGAGGGAGGAAGTGAGGCGCATTTGGGACAAGGGAGGGAGGGAAGAACAACAGCCACAAGGGTTAGGTTTGATAAGAAATCGTTACATGATATCTGTTTTAACCGAACCGAATCGAATTGCCTCGGTTCAGTTCGGTTCGTCGGCGGTTCGAGAATTTACACCCCTAAATATCATACATATAAAATCCCCAAATAAATCAGCATACTAGAATCATGCCTCATTGCACTGTAGATTTCCTCCTCTTTCAAGTCTAAACTGTTGCTAAAATCTCGCCTCCAACTGGTGCAATTATCATGAAATGCTGAATTATACTATTATAATTAAATCTCGCCTCAAGGCATGGGAATCAATTTTTTCATTCCGTTTGGGATGGGACTGACGTTGATGTCTCAATTTTATGCAGAGCCCACAAGAATAAGGAATAGGATTGACAAGGACGCCACATAAAATGAGACACATTCCTCTCCTACAGTCTTATGAATCCCGCATTGCTTTATTCCGTGGTCTCACATAAAATTGAGATATCGACATCAATCACATTCCTCTCCTATAACGTTTATACAATTATCTATCGGTATCGATAATTTATCAATATTTTCATCGATACTTCCATAAAATTGAGACACATTTTCATCGACATCGACATTTCAGATCTTGGTGACTCTTAACACATCTCCTGTGTCCTGTGTTTACTTGGCATAATTACTTGTTAGTTCTAGTTTTCAACCTTGCTAGCAAGCTAGTCTTCTTTGCCAGTGTGAGTTAGATCTCTGTGTGAGTTATGAAATTCCCCGTTTAGTACTAAATCTTGTTCTTTGTCATCCAAATAAATAACCTCAGCTCAATCAAAGGATCATCAAACCACTATAAATGATCGTGCAATTGTTAGTTAGTTTCTCACAACATGTGTATTGGAGAACATTTGCATCTAGACCCACATTCAGTCGGGATTGATTTTAAAAATTAAAAAAAAAACTAATTTGTTTGGCAATCGGGAAGCATCGTTAATAGAAAAGTAATTGCAGTAAATGTGCCGAAAAGAATGAGATTGCTCAATTTTAAAAGATGAGAATGAAAAAAATTGGGTAGGTCTTTGATTTTTATCCCTTCATCCCCATTCAATTAATCAGGTTTAATTTAATGAAAGTCCAAAGGAAAAAATTATAAATTTCTTTAATAAAATAAATCTCCTTGCTTTACCCTACCAGATCTTGAGTTAGTTTTTTATTGTTAATTACTTTCAATTATTGTCAAATCATTAATCATTAGTTAACAACTATTCATCATTAGGAAAACTCAAATTAAATATAATTTATTTATACATGTCTAAGCATCATTTTAAATTGCACAATTTTAGTAAATACTCCCTAGTTTTTGGTTCTTGAACTTTTTTATTAGTTTTGTTTAATTTTGATTTTTTTTTCCTTCTAAACTTGTATAAAAATTTATTTTGGTAGTTTTTTTTTCTATGACATTATTGTTATTATATCAGAGATATGAGAGTTAAACTCAAACCTATAACTTAAGTAGGGGTGCACTAACCAAGGAGTTATATGCATGCTCATATTTGCTTTTATGTGATATGCGTTTTGACTTTGTTCCATATATATCAAATCTAATATCGTCAAAACGAGCATAGTTTAACGGTAATTGATATATATATCCAATAAAGAGGTTGTGAGTTTGAACTCATCCCACATGTTGTGTTAAAAAAAAATTCAAATCTAATATATCAAGTTTGAGATTGAAGGTAACTTTATTTTAAAACTCGAAGTTAAAATTAATTCGAAAAAAGAAAACTTAGATGCTAAATTTGATGTATGTGTGTCACAATACAAAATAATGGCTCCATGTGAAGTACAAAAAAAAATTAATATATATATATATAATAATAATAATAACACCACCACCAAAAATATATATATATATATATATATATACACAAAATCTTGAAACTAAAATTCAACCTTTAAAATTATGAACGCCAAAATAATATAGGTGTCGACAGATGAATAATTAACATAGAATTTCACTTTCACCATTTTTTTTTTTCATTTTTTTTCAAGAAATAATTATTATTTAAGAAAAATAGAGATATGAAAGAAAATACAAACACATTATTTTTTAAATATAATTTGGTTCTTTTCTCTCTTTTAAGTTTAAATCACCAACATTTTTCGTATTATCTCGTATCTAACACAAAATTATAGTAAATCGTGTATCCCACTATATGAATTGTACAATTTTAGTTTCTTGGACCTTGACCTATGATGGTTGGGTGATACTGTGAGATATGTACTATATGTATTAAATTTACCTAACCTATTTTAAATTTTTAGGTTGAGTTGTGATTTACTCATCTTTAAGAGATACAATTTCCATAGCTCAAAAAGAATATTACATTATAAATTACAAGAAAGTGATTCAAATCTATGGTCTATAAAACGATTAAACTCGTAACTGTTTGGTCATTTAAGCTACAAGTCAACATAATGATGTAATATTTTAGATTAATAAGCAAGACCTCAAAAAAAATATATCCAAAAATATAAAATCAAAATATAAATTTAGCACACACAACCCTCCAACAATATCCACTATATAGATGGAAATGAAAATGACATAAATTTAGATATCTAAAATCCCAAGATTAATTATGTAGAATGACAAATATGAACTAAACATGACGACATATCCCTATCGTGATTTAGGTGGAAGAAAAACTAATTGGTCGCGTGGCGGCCACCCTTCTTCAGTTGCTCCACCACCTCCTTCCCCCTTCCCTTTATCAATTATTACATTACATTAGTTACAAATCCAAAATGCAATCAAGTACGGGAGACCAAAAAATTATTTATATGTTAAAAGGGCAAGTAAATGATAGAAATTAAACAACAAAACGTTTTGGAAATTGAAATTTTAATTATATCTTTAGAAATTTAGAAGGTTAAAAGTTTTAATTTAGGTGAAAAAAATGATATAGGTTTCTATCGAAGGAATACCTATCTTATTTATCTTATTAAATTTTATGGCTTGTGAATTCTTTAAATTTTAAAATTAACTTAAAAAGATAAAATGTACAATTGAAATAATATAAATACTCATTATATTTTTAGTGATAATATTTATAGAGTCAATGTTATTAGTTTAGTCCATTTATGTAGAAGGAATAGAACCAAAATAACCAAGAGAAATTTAATAAAGAAGATATAAGGTCTTATTAATTTTTAGAAAAATCAATATTATTAAATTTCAAGACTTTTTACATTTTTGTTGATTTTATGTCAATGTGATAATTATTTGTTAGTGTAAAAAAAGAAAGCATCTAAATTATTAATAGTTAAAAAACTCGTCACATGCTAGTTGAAATAATATAAAAATATTTTATTTATTATTAGTTTTGAAAGAGAGGGAAAGAGATAAATTTATAGTTGAATGAGAGACACTTTGATATTAGGTATATTAGTTGTATTAATGATGTTTGATTAAAAAATAAAAGAGACCTACTTCGCGAGGTTGGAAACAAATAGGTAGATTGAACAAACATGTAAAATATATATAATATATATTACTCTTTTTTATTTTTAAAATTCTAAAAATAACAAAAAATAAGTACTAAATTGATAATTTTCCTTGCCAAAAAAAAAATCCCCGTCCCAAAATAGAGATTTCTTGACTCAAACTTTTATTTCCAAAATCAGAGAATGAGATAGAGACGAGAACTAAAAATCTCTTCGAAGACGATAATGGAAAGAACATCTCAACTCTCACCCCACGTGGTTGACTTCTCTCCTATACATATATTTCTTTCTCTAGCATATCTTCAAAATCTCTAAGGTTTTAAAAAAAACTGAAAACCAAAACAAGTTACGTTTGATGTTCTATTTTTTAAAAACAAAAAACAGTTATCAATTTTTGTTTTTAAAAAAACATAGACTAAAAACCAAAAAATCAAAATCAAAATGGTAATCACACGGCCTTTTTTTTTTTTTAATTTATTAGAGATCAAAAACGATTTTAAAAACCAGAAAATAGAAAATTGAATTGGGCAAGTATATTTTTTAAAAACGTAAAAAACAAAAAAGGAAATAGTTATCCAACCGACCTTAAAAATAGAAAAAAAATAAATAAATAAATACTCCTCACACCATGTCGTGAATCACGTGGGGAGGGAAAATTTTGAAGAACCATGCTGAACGAACTAAAATATTAATTTCAAATTTTGTATTGGAGAAAGGCAAATTGTTTTTGTGAAATCTCTCTCACACTCTTATTAAGATGCTATTTTTCTATTCCTCCAAGAACCAGTAGATAATATTTTAAATCAATCACGTAATGGAAGAGGAGACACAACACTTGTAAATCACGTTCAAATTAAGAAAAAAAATCTCCAAATTTGCCATGCGAGAACAAATTTTGTTTTACTTAAATAAATTAATCTCCAAGTCTTTGAGTTGGTGATTCTTTTATTATAAATCAGCAACCAATGACCATTAGTATTTGGAATTATCTAATCTCAAATTAAATGTAATTTGTTTATAGTTGCTTACACATCATATTCTCAAAATTCGAAATTTCAATCCGAGATTCCCACCCCAAACCTCAAGAACTCAGAAGAGTTTCAAAAAAATGTCTGAATCGCACAAGATAAAAAGAGAGCTGCCTCTTCTGTACACTAAATACACAAGCTTTCATCCATTTCCAAAACACAAAAACCAAACATGAAGTCTCCAATTACATCCTTAGCTTATATTTTTATTTTCTTGTCGGCATGGGTAGCTTCTGCTTGCAACCATGAAGATTTTCTCGACTGTCTTTCTATTCATTCTCCCAACAGTTCTCCGATTTCAAATATTATTTACACTCCAACGGATCCTTCATACTCTTCGGTTTTGAACTTCTCAATCCAAAACCAAAGATTTTTGGGTGCCAAAACTCCAAAGCCTCAAATAATTGTGACGCCGTTGGAAGCTTCCCACATTCAAGCATCTGTCATTTGCGCCAAAAATAATGGCTTCCAAATACGAACACGAAGCGGTGGCCATGATTACGAGGGACTTTCCTATGTCTCCGATGTTCCTTTTGTTCTTGTTGATTTGACGAACATTCGGTCAATCGACGTCGATGTGGAACAAAACGTTGCATGGGTGCAATCCGGAGCCACCATCGGTGAACTCTACTACAGAATTGCAGAGAAAAGCAAAACCCTAGGGTTCCCAGCTGGACTTTGCCCGACAGTCGGCATTGGTGGTCACTTCAGCGGTGGTGGTTATGGTTTGATGCTACGAAAGTATGGCCTTGCTGCAGATAATGTGATCGATGCTTATTTCATTGATGTAAACGGTGAGCTCCATGATCGAAAATCAATGGGGGAAGATGTATTTTGGGCCATCAGAGGAGGAGGAGCAAGTTTTGGAATTATTCTTGCATGGAAAGTAAAGCTTGTCCTGGTTCCACCGGTGGTGACTGTTTTCTCAATCACAAGAAACTTGAAACAAAATGCCACCAATCTAGTCCACCGATGGCAATACGTCGCAAACAAACAAGATGACAGACTTATCATCAGAGCCGTATTAGGCGTCACGAACTCAAAGAATCATCAAAATGGCAAAAGAACAGTGAAAGCAAATTTCAACTCCTTGTTCCTTGGAAAAGTTGGAGAGCTTCTTCCCATAATGCAAAATACTTTCCCCGAGCTAGGATTGAAGAAAGAAGATTGTATAGAAATGAGTTGGATTGAATCTGTTCTCTATTTTTCTGACTTCCCTAGAGAGCAACCATTAAATGTCCTTATCGATAGGAATTTAGCTCTCAAAGGCATCTTCAAAGGCAAATCGGACTATATAAATCAGCCGATCCCTAAAGCTGGGCTAGAGGGTTTATGGGAATTGCTCATCAATGATGAAGTTGAATTCGTACGAATGCATCTTGTCCCTTATGGTGGAAAGATGAACGAGATTTCTGAAGCAGACATTCCTTTTCCACATAGAGCTGAAAATCTTTACATGATTCATTATGTGGTGTCTTGGACAGAAGTTGGAGATAGTGAACAAAGACATATAAGTTGGATCCGTAAGCTTTATAGATATATGACTCCTTTTGTTTCAAAAAATCCAAGAGCTGCGTATTTCAATTACCGAGATCTAGATATTGGAACAAACAACAAAGATGGGAACACGAACTATGAAAAAGCAAGTATATGGGGAGCAAAATACTACAAGGATAATTTTAAGAGGCTGGTGAGTATAAAAACTAAGGTTGATCCTTCTAATTTTTTTAGGAATGAGCAAAGCATTCCTTCTCTTTTTCCATGGTGGAAGGGAGGGGGACATGAGACGTTTTGAGATATTTTGAGATATGATTGAAAGAAACCCAGCCAATTAAACGGATGTATACTCCTACTTTCGTTTTTAGTTTATAACTTAATAAAATTGTTATTTTTGCATTACATAAACATTTCCTAATTTTGTTCTTGAACTTTTTGTATTAGTTTAAGTTTAATTTGGATGATTTTCTTTTTTTTTTCATCTAAACTTGTATATAAACCACAAAATAATTTCACCTATTTATTCCAATTCAAATTACACGAATCTTTGCATGTAATCACAACTTTCTAAATGAGTATAGATTAGTTAAAGGAAGATATTAATTTCACCTATGTATTCCAATTCAAATTTTAATTCGATGAAATTAGATTTTGAGGCTATAATCACTAAGCCAATTGAAATAGGATTTCGATCCCGGTTTCAACCAAAGTTTTAAATGTCGATGTCGATTGAAATGTCGAGCTCCTAATTTCATAGAAATATCGATAAAATGTCGATGTCAATGGATATTTCTGTAAAAGTTATAGAAATTAAAAAATTATAAAAAATATTTAAATTAGCGAATAAACATTTTCATATTTCTAAATAAGTTAAAAAATAATTAATATTAATTTTATGTATATATTAGTGACATTTGGTTGATATTTTTTCATATTTTGTCGATTTTTTTATACTATGATGAAAATGTCGATTTACCTCACATGTCGATATCGAACCCATGAAAACATGGACATGTTGATGGAAATGTTGACGTGTCGACGGATATTTAGAACCATGATTTCAACCGATGAGATGACAAATCTAAAGTTCTATTTTCATGTGGAATATATATATATTAAATAAACCATAAAGTGACTTTTTAACCCTAAGACACTAAGGGGTTGTTTGGTTGGCGTTTATTGGGTGGGAATGTACATGGGCAAGTAAAGTCCTTTGTTACACAGATTTGAAAATTTTTCTTATTTTCATGGACAATGGCTTTCTTTGTCCTACCATTTCATGGATTTGTCGGTAAATTTTGTACCAGACTCTTATCTCTCCCCTTCTGAATAAATTATTTTTTAATGAAATTATTTACTTTGTTTTATTGGAATTAATTAATTAAAATTAGTTAAAATATTTAAATTAAATGTATAATTAATAAAACAACATAATTTTACCAATAATGTCCTAAATTAATTTATTAAAGTATATACTTATTTTTTTATAAAAAATGTAATTAATTGAGGCAATTAATAAGATGAACATAATTAATATTGTTAAACACATAAAATTATCATTATTAAGATTGATTGCTAAATAAAATCAACAGCATAAATTTAGATATATTATTTATAATATACTTATTAACGAGTGAAACTTAAATTAAAACATAATTGCTTAAAATAATTTTAATATTTTAATTTAATAGAGATCAATTAATTAATGTAAATTAATTAATCAATTATTTAAAGTTAATTTTGATTGATTTTAAAGCTTTATACGACATTTTGTATATATTGAATTTTAGTTAAATAACCTTTACTATTAATTGTTCAATTGTTCATCATTGTAATAAATTTTCAATATAGCTAAATTGTCAATTATAATTTAGAAGGCTAATATAAAATAATTTATAACTTAAAATAATTAAATTTATATTATTTATTTTTTGAATTAATTTGATTTGATATTAATCAATGTTTATAATGACATAAAATGCATATTGCCAAAGTAATCAAACAAAATAAACATATATATAATTTATTTTTAGACAACTTGATCTTAGACATCTTAATCTCAGATATATATACAACCTAAACACAATTATCTTTTCAGACATCTTATTACCAGACATATTAATCACATCATTCTCAGAAGTTGTTTAAATAATTGATGAATATATTTCATCCTCCATTTTTTGTGAATTCCTTAATTACAAGTACTAGCATTATTCAATGAGTAGTTAAAAATATAGTTTGTTAATTTATGTTCCAAACAACCTAACAATGTAGAAGTGAGATATTATACGGTTTTTGTATTCTATACGGACTGCTAATAAATTGAGAGCAAAAAAAAATCAGATTACCTTTGATAAGTTATATCATCTTTTATTTTTTTTAATGTGGGATCCTGCTCCATGTAACTCTTTTAGGTTCACCAATCTTGACCAGATCTATTTTCCTTTTATAAATTTTTTTAGTACAAATATTGCGTGGATGAGGAATCAAACCATTGACTTGGAGAGAAGAAGTTAACTACTGCTAAATGGGATCTGACCAAGATTGGTAAATCAAAAGAGACCATTTTGTGGGACAAGTTAAGGATCTCGCGTTGAAAAGATAAAGAACATAACAAAAGTTTGCAATATAAGTGGGCTACTTTTAGCATTCTCAATTAGTTTTGAGATGTAACCTCATGAATATTAATATGGTATCAGAGTCAAACAAGTTCAAACGAGCATTCACGATTTTCATAGACTACTCCTCTCGTTACCAATTAGTTTTGAGATATATTTCAATGAATATTGATTAGTTATTCACTACGCATAATAATTCATGAGTGGATATAATATATATTGTATAACTTCTGTTTATGCATAAATTTGACCTCCTGGGATTCCGTCAAATTCGCACCAATCTTCAAGAATAAAGGGATCGACGAGACCTGCAAAACAGAATATCATTAAAGACCAGTGTGGTACTTGTCACACAGGCTCTGATGCTTAAGTTAGAATCAGAGTATTTGAGTATAGAGTGTTATAAGTATCCCTTTAAAGTTTAGCTTACTCTCCTATTTATAGAAGTTGAATCCTAATCCTTTTAAATAGGATTTACAAAAGTTGAATCCTATTCCCTTTAGGATTTACATAAGTTGAAACCTAATGCACTCAGGAGATCTAGACGGAGTGGGCCTCATGCTGGGTCCGTTCGTTTCATTGTGGACTTAAGGTCGAATAGAGAATCGAGACGGGATGATTCGGGATGAACCTCTAGGGTAACGGCTCCTCGGTCGAGGGGCCGAGAATTGCTCTGCGTCGAGGAGGTCTCGGCGTCGAGGCCTGGTCAGCGCTGACCACTACTTAGCCAGGGGCCGACTCGGGTCGCCAGGTGTCGGCCCCCTTTCCTGATTTGTGCCCACTTATTGGCTTTCTTCCGGTCTCCTGTCGCCTAGCTGAGTCTCGCTTATTTCCCTGTAACAACTTCAATCTTAGGTAAAATATTATATATCTTGATGTAGTTGAATAATTGTAATAAAATTTTTATTGAAAGTCTCAATGAACTAATTACAATACTTGAGACACATGCATTTAGGACGGTTAAATTACCTATCACATTTTTCACTTTCATTAGTAATTTTTGTGTTTATCTTTTTATAAACTTTAAAAAAATTTGGTTGACGGCAAATTTTGGACAGGTCCATATGTCCCTGAGACGAGTAGCTTTGCATGAGAGCAAATGAGCCTACATAAAAAGAACTCGACATTAGTATGGTGTCCTGCCGAATAGCCTCTACACTCAAGTCAGTAATTGGAGTAGAAAATAAGAAAAGACATCTTAAGCATTCGTGACAGATTTCTCACTTGGCGAGGGTGAGGGTCCTTCTTTATATATGCCTAGGCGACCAACTGGGAAGGACAACAGATGGAATGGCAAGGGCACTACAAGGTACGACGCCTACTGAGGACGTACGTTCCCTACAACAGGCGGTGGTGCCATTGCCTACAAGCTTGAAGCTTGTTGCATGCCGATGGGGCTCGACGTGCTACCCATACTTGGCAGACAGAAACGCGTATCTCCTGCCATCGTGGCTTACGATGTGCATTGTCTATGGTCCCCAATTGTTAGAGGTAGATACGCGTCTTCATCGGTTTTACTTCGCCCTCTTTCGACGCCAGGCCACTCAGTGATGAGTGAGCTGGGTCAGAAGTGTTGAAGTGAGCATGGTGCGTGTGGCCTATGCTCGTGCGACGGGAGATCTCCTTTGGATCGGGACTAGGGTCCACATTGTGCAGTAGCCATGATGATTCGGCGTCAGCATATACGGCTGCATTTATGGGAGGACACGTGCTCATCGCCGTTTCGCGGGTGGTAGCATTCTTTGTACGACGTGTGAAGCGATGGAGTCGGCGGTCGTGATTCATAGTGCCGTTGGGATTCGAAGTGGAACCCAGTGGCCTTTAAATTTGCTCAGTTGAGAGCGACGGTCACTTTTCTTGCCCTTCACGTTATCTGTGCTTTTGTCTCTTTGAGTACCATGGCTAATCGTCCAGTGGTGAATCACGTTCCGACGCAAGCGATGGAGCAAGAACTCTTGGGTCTTCGCTCTAAGTACCGAATTTCGAATTACATCCTCATGCGTCTTCCGGCGGAGGATGAAAGGATTGACAACCCTCCTTCCGGATGGGTAAGTTTTTATCCATAAACGTTCTGGAACGGGCTCTAGCCCCGCTTTCTCTTTTTGCTCAATCTTTTCTATCCTTTGCCGAAGTTACGCCGACACAACTAGCCCCAACGTCTAGGGAACCATAATGGCGCTAGCCATCCTCCGGCCGGAGCTCTGCGATGGCAAGAAGATGAACTTTACCCTTCTGACTGCGTTGACCCTGATAAAGTTAATTTTGGGCTTCTCGAAGTTTTATAACCTATGTTCTCGTCATGGAACGGTTTTCAAGGCCCCGACTTCGAACAAGCATTGGAAGGATCGTTGGTTCTTTGTCGGCAATCCTTTGTTGGTTGGTGACGGGCCGATAGTTGGCCGCATGCCCAGCCGTTTCAGAGAGAATGGTGAGTCTTCTTTCTTCCAGCAGTTTTTTTTACGGCCTTGTCCTAGCTTTGAAGTCTCTATTTCTCCTTTTGTAGTGTTGCCTAGCGAGGTTCTTCCGTCTTCATCTGAGTCGATGAAGGTGTTGCGGAAGATCTAGGACGCTCAAAAGGTTCCTATGCTCATCGCCACGAATGAGAAGATAATACATCATTGCCTTGTTGGGATCCCAACGGACCAACCCAAGGTAGTGATGACCTCTCTAACCCTTCAGGCACCTCGACAAGTAAGAATACTCACGCTTTTCTTCGAGCAGTTTCAAGGGGCTGATTGCCTAATTACTATGGACTTTTGGTGCAGGTTTGGTGAGGCCATTTGT